CTGGCAGTCCTGCTCCGAGCTGCTCCAGACGTAGCCGGGTAGGGTCACACGGCCGTCGGGCTGCCGGCCGGCCGTCCTGGTGGCCTTGCCGGCGAGGCCCGGGCGCCCGCCGGCCGCCAGCTGGGACTGGCAGCTGCTGCTGTGCGTGACGGTGGTGAGCACGGAGCCGTACCTGTGGCCGCCGCACGGGGGCGCCCTTCTCCAGTCGACGGAGAGATCCCACCGACTCCACAGCTTCTTCACCTCGGCCTGCACCTAAGCCACAAGACCCACATCATGCGTCAGACACCAGCGGGGCCCCTGAAGCTTTGCAAGGCGAATGCCTGCCCTGATTTCAATGACAGCACTAATCATTCCTTAAGGGTCCATTGTGTGGCAGGGGACTTGGCATATATATTCTTTCTCGGTCTCGCAAAAACCTTCTGTTATTACTGGAGATGAGCAAACTGAGGCTTACAGAGAGGTGAAGGGCTTGTCCAAGGTTAGCATTGTAACAGAGGCTGAAATGCAGCCAATAGAAACATCTGGCCTGTGGGAGAGGAAAGAGAGGCCTGCGGTTGGGGGAGAAAGAGAGAAATAGCGGCAGCTGTGGCTGAGGGATGGCCCGAAAGGGACCCAGCCTGCAATGTGACGGCCACCCTATCGCCGTGCAGAGGTGCCCTGAAGGAGGAAACGGGAAAGAGGGCTGTACACCAAAAAGCAGGCCCTGCAAGTGCATTCTCAGCAGGGTGGGGCTCTGGCTCCATTTCTTTTAGCGGGAGATTCACTTCTACGGCCTGTGCCCCTTTCCAGAAGGAAGCTTACTGGGAAATGCCATGGGAGGGTGGGAGCCTGGTGAGCTGATGTCACCTAAAAGAACAGTTTGACTCCCAGATGGAAGAAAATTGGCCCACCATCACCTTGTAGTTTAAAAAATATCAAAATGTTCCAATCGATTTGTCCCAAGAATACGTATTTGAGTTTCTTACAGACCCTGAAATTGATTAATAAGTTTAAGCATTAACTGGAATATGAGGCTCACCGTCCTTCCAAGTCTCCATTCGCATTCCAATGAGTGGGTTTTTTGATATCAGGGTTTACAACTGAATTGGCCTTAGCTGACTGAAATGAATTCTTGCTCTCTCCAAATAATTTATGATTAAGACATCTCTCCCTGCCCATTTTCTCCTGCAACTCCTGGGGATCCTAAAGAGCTGTGGGTGACACTGTGATGGAGACCTGTGGGGCATCCGGGCTTCCTTGACCTACCTCTCCATTGCAGTAGCAGTAGATGATGGACACGAAGAAACCCTGGAGAGAAAGCACAGAGGAGCTGACAGTTTACGAAGACCACAGATCTTGCGTCACACGATTCCTCCAGAAAAACTTAGGCGTTACTCTCCTACTGTTTCCAGATCCTTACGTCTACATTACACTTCTCTGAAATCTTCCTTGGTGTCAGCGGAACCAAGCAAGTATGTAAATAAAACACACTAACATACGCAAAGAGCTGATTTCTGTTATATTAGTTTCATTTATGTTGCTACCCAAGGTCACCAAATATCCCCTTGTTGGTAAGAGATATTTACACCCTGTGAATGCTGGAACCTGCAAACAAAGGGTATTACATGGTAAAAAGAAATACTGTTTTTTCATTCATTCAAAAATATTTATTGAACTTATACAATGCGAAGTGCTTGGCATGCCAGGGATAGACAGTTTAATCAAGACAGACAAGGTCCCTGTTCCCTTAGGCCTTACATTCTAGCAGGAAATACAGAGGGGGAAATATAAACACACAGCCACAGGAGAAAAATGTAAGATGCTAAGGGTTATGCACGCGAGACGAGTGGTGCTGACGGAATGAAGATGTGTCAGGTAAAGAACTCGACAAAGGCCTCCCTGAGGAGGTGACATTTAAGCTGGTTTGAGTGACAAGAAGCAGCCAGGCCTTCTGAATATCAAGGGGAAGAACATTCCAGGCAGAAGGAACAGCAAGTATGAACCCCTGAGGCAGGAATGAGCTTGAGGAACCCTGCCACGCAGGGCTGTGCACACCAGGAATCTGGATTTTATTCTGAGTGCAATAGGAAGCCTCGGATACTTCTATCAGATAAGTGATATGATCAAACTTAAAGTTTTTTTTAATATATCTTTATTGATTCAGAGAGAGGAAGGGAGAGGAGAGAGAGAGAGAGAAACATCAGTGATGAGAGAGTCATTGATCGGCTGCCTCCTGCACGCCCGACCAGGGATCGAGCCCGCAACCCGGGCATGTGCCCTGACTGGGAATCGAACCGTGATCTCCAGGATCCTAGGTCGATGCTCAACCGCTGAGCCACACCCGGCCAGGCCAAACTTAAATTTTTAAAGTTCTTCAGACTATTGCATGGAGACGAGGCCGAAGGCGGCAGGAGGCTGCAGCAAGAGCTCGCGGAGGAAGAAGGGGCAGGCGGCGCCCGCAGCAAGCCCCGTGGAGGACGATGGTATTATTTTCCAACAACACAGAATGTGCAGGAGCCACCTCTCTCTGTTTAGCTCCTTTTTCCCTCCTTCCTGCCTTCTCCTTCTTTTGCTGTCAATCATTTTCCCTACACGCACAGAGGTCCCTACTCTGTAGGTGGGGACAGCCGTTTCCAACACGCTCCCTCCACTGGCCGCCCAGCCCTGCCCAGAGGAGCAGCTGCTCCCGTCCTCCCCGGAACCTGACCTCCGCAGGATGGAAAAGCACGGGCACCGAGAACAGCGCCCTCTCATGGCCTCAGGAGACCGTGGCGTGCAAGCCAGAGGCAGAGAAAGAGGCCGCAAGGGGGGGAGAGTGAGGCAGCAAAGCAGAAGGACCGGGTTACTAGGCGGCCCTACCTGAAAGGAGTTGAAGAAGAGCTCGCAGTGCATCCGGATCTCCCACCCGAGCCCCGAGAAGGAGTGGGGCAGGCACACGAACACGATGTAATGCACTCCGAAGACCAGCACCAGGACCAGCGTGGATTTGGCCAGTTTCCTGAAAGAATGCAAAGCCTTTTTATTGAACAATTTCGAGTGCCCTTCAGGAGAGACAGCTGGCTGGGGGGAAAACAAGCTTAGCAGAGCTAACAGGGGCTGACTTTGCCTGTCTCTTTGGAGCCCACGACTTCTGCTAGCTCTTCCCCTCCCTCCTCCTCCTGTCATTTTTATACTAAATCAGGTAGTTTATTCTCGCTTCCCATGATTATTATCCGCTACGTCTTTCTAATCTCATTTCTGCTCTTCTTGCTTAAAGGATACTATTTTCATAAAGCTGTGAAATGCCTTTTTTTCTGTCCCAAGTCCTCTTTAACTTCTCTGTTTGAGACTTAAGCAAGTATTACCTCTGTCTGTCAACTGTCTTTACTTTCATAGGCAGCATTTTGGCTTGTTTTGTTCATTTTAAAATCAGCTATTCCCTAGTTTCTTCTTACACATGGATCTCCATTTGTCATTTCATATTTTCTAATAAGCTACATGTAGTCACCTTCTCTAAAGAGTCTATATAACTATTCTATCTCAAACTGTCCATAGTTCTAGGTTTCATTTTGGGGTTTGGTAGGGGTTGAAAGCTAATCAATTTTACCTTATTTCCTTTAACTGCCTTTTTATATACATTATATACACGTGTATTTGGAGGAATCCTAGGTTTTCCAATTTGATGGGTTGACTCTAAAATGGCCCCCAGTGATTCCCACCTCCTAGTATTTACATCTTTGTTAATCCTCTCACCTTGGATGTGGGCAAGACCTGAATAGAGTACAGCCGAGATGATGGGATGTCACTTCCGTGATTATGTTGCATACAATTGTAATTTTCATCTTACTAGCAGACTCTCTCCTTTGGTTCAGTGAAGCAACTTACCATGTTTCGAGCTGTTCTACTGAGAAGCCCATGTGGCAAGGAGAAGTGGAACCTGGCCAACAGCCAGCAAGAAACTGGATCCCACCAATAATCACATAAACTTGGAAGTGAGTTCTTCCCCAGTCCAACCTTAACATAAGACTGCAGCCCTGACTGACATCTTAATTGCATTCTCGTAAGAGACCCTGAAGCAGAGGGCCCAGGTAGGCCAGGCCCAGGTTCCAGACCCCCAGAAACTGTGAGAGAGCAAGTGTGTTATTTTAAGCCACTGTTTGTGATTACAGTGGCGTATCCTAGGCCAATTATACATGGGTCATCCATCTGTCTATTCATTTACAAAGATGGGCTTTTCCACATACCAAATCACTCAGCAGTCCTGGGCACTGATTTGTTTGTTTCAGGGTCCATCTGGTCACCGATGCACATTGTACATCTCTGCAACCCAGCTGTCTGCAAAGGCACAGCTGTCTAATGAGGTGACTCAGGGATGCAAAACTGAAAGTGGTCTCTGGCTTGCTGGAAATATGGTGGCGGCTCTGGGTCCAAGAGCAAAGCCATGAGAGGAATACAAAAAAAGTCAAGTGGTTTGTTGGATTCAGTGTCCTACGTAGAAAAGATACCCAATTGTTACAATTTCTCTCCCTAGCTGATCTCTCCCCAGGTAAAAAGTTCTGAAAAATCTCTACTTGTCTTTTAAGAGTCACCATAGCTTTAAAAATACATACTACTTCTTCCCTTTTCGATCCCTCTTGGCCTTGAATTAATCTTTCCTTCTTTTCTATACCTCTCTCTCTCTCTGACAACAACCCTGTGAGAGTACTTTTATGATCCCACATCCAGGTGAAGACAAAGGCTCAGAAAATGAACGTATTCACCCAAAGTTGCACAGCTAGTAGTAGATTCAGCCTTAAAATCTGTCCTCTTTACTATTATGCTACATAATAAATATCAGTTGAATTCGTTCCAAAAATAATAAATATCAAATATGATTTGTGTGTAATATTGAATGGAAAGTCAAATTAGCCAAAACATTCAACTGTTGCTTTCTACCGAATCTTGCATTTTTCATATCTCCCATGTTCTTCCAGTCCTGGCAATCTTTGCTTACTTTGTAAAGGAATTGAGTTGTAATTTGAAAAGAAAAAATGTATTAGTTCTGTTGTTAAATCTGATTGGTTAATTTTCTTCACATCAATCTTGTTTTAAAATAAGTGATTGTAAATTGCTATTATGCAAGATGTCACCTTCAGGGGAAACTGGTTAAAGGGTATATGGGGTCTCTCTGAATTATTTTTATAACTGCAGGTAATTCTACAATTATCTCAAAGTAAAAAGTTTTTTAAAGCTGATTGTATCAACATATTTCAATTTTAAGCCACTATATCAATGAATTAATATCATATACTTCTCAGAAGTCTTTCCTTGTGCGTGCAAGCTCACCTAGAGAGACTCTCTCAGCTCTGAAAGATGCTTTCAGTCTTTCAGACAGTAATGTGCACAGAAATATGTTAAAAACTGTTTTAGATGCCATGATTTGAAAATATATTTTTCATTGTTTTATTTTAACAAGAATATTTGTTTGACAAAGGTAATAACTAAATGAAATATAAATTTAAAAGTAAATTTGTGAGGCAGAATCCAGATGCTGACTATGATTTCTTCTTTCTGTGTCTGAGACAGCATTTCAGAACAATCCAGGGTGGAAAGAAATAGTTACCAGTTTGGGGAATATAAGTATCAATTCGAATCTACCTGACTACTGGATATATATGCATCCAGCTGGACAGAGGCCACTATTATCCAGAACTTTAAAACTAAGCATTGGGAGACTCAGACACACCCTTAATATAGTTTGATAATGATCCTAAACACTCAATTTGCCCATTTCTTCATGAAAGATAGAATAATGGACCTTGCTCAATCAATACATTTGAAAGTTAAAAATTTATACTTGGTAGGTGCCAGTTCAATGAAAAGATTGAAAACAATATAGCAATCCACTTTCTTGATTTTTTTCAGTTATGGTATATTATTTTAAGAATGAAATAAGAGCCAGGTCTCTGAGCATTAGCTACGGGTGACTCAGTACGGTGCTTAATAAATCGTTACTTTCTTGGCTGCAAAAAACAACAACAAAGAACACAAATAAAATTGTCTGCCAAGATCAACAAGAGATTTTCGGAGGGATATATATATATATACACACACACACACACACACACACTCACACACATGAAGCGTGTGTGTGTGTGTATACTTTTCTGATAAATCATAAATTAAACCAAACAAAAATATACAATCATAAATGTCTCCCTTAGAGACATTTCAGATCAATCAATATCTGTTCTTTACACTAAATAGTAACCAAAATATTTCCTCTGATGTACGCCTGCCCTGGAATTACCTGTATTGTTTTCTTGTGTCATGCCCAACTGCATTGGTCTCCCAAATTTTGGTAGCCAGAACTCTAACCGTATTCAGAAACAGAAGAAAATTCAGCTGAAAGAGAAAGTAAGATTACGAAGAATTATCAAGTTTGTCTTCAAGAGTTTCTAAAATTTACATAAATTAAACTTCCCTGTATTCAAAGACTGAAAATTGCCCATTCCATACGAGTCAGTGAGGGACACTGAGATAAGCTATTGGAAAGCTGGTGATTCTTGATTTGCCCTCATGAACCCACAAAGAGGAAAGGTTTCAACAGCACTGGAAATTAGAAAGACCAGGGGATGACCTGCCAGAATCCCTGGGGAATTTCTAACCCAAGGTGCAGACTGGCAGGAGAAAGGATAATAGTTATGACATAAATGCAACCAACTGCCCTTTCGAAATAAAGGCCCAACAGAGTTGTTTAGGGGATTCTGTCTGTCTGTCTCTCCCTCTTCCTTCCTCTCTCTCTAAAAATCAGTAAAAATATTTTTTTTAAAGACACACAAGAAAAACAACAACAGCAAAAATGTCTTTCATTAAACAATATTGAATAAAACTTTTTCTCCTCCAGAAAAAAAAAAAAACAACTCAAAATTTCAGCCACGCAATCTCTTGCTCCTCGGGCCGTCCCTGAAGCTTTGCTCCGGAGTCGCCTCTGTCTGGCTCTTCTGTCCCTCGGCTCCCCCACCTGGGCTAGGTTAGCTCACTGCATTCTCAGGTTCCGGCGGAATGTCACGTTTCTCAGCTGTTCCTGACACCCAAGCCCACCACAGCACTTGTCACATTTAAATGTTTGCCTCACCCAATGTGCTGCAGCTGTGTGAGGAAAAACTGGTGCCCATCTCAGGTGGGCAGGTCCTGACTAATTATGGGGTCCTCGACAGGCCCGCTTGGCCAGCAGGCCTAAGATCACCCCCCAAATCAGCGTCCAGCAGCTATATTGGGTTTTGCTTTGGTTCTGCCCAGCCCCTTGTTTTATATCGCTACGCGTCTAGAATCTGAACAGCATATATTGGCTTATTTTTCAAAATCATGAACATAAGAAATTTTTTGCTTTGTTTATATGTATATTGATGCTAAATATTGAACATTTAAATAATAGATAAAATCCTTAATCTATACCATTACAATGTTATTGTCAATAGCACGGGCATGAAGACAAAGTATGTAGCTCATTTTTGTCAGTTGGAATTCAATTAATAACCGGGACAGCATTGACGGTAAATGGTAAAGCTTTTATTTCATTTCAAGTTCTAAATGTGACTGACTTAAAAGAGGACAGGGAGCCCGGCTGGCGTGGCTCAGCCATTGAGCATGGACCTAGGATCCAGGAGATCGCGGTTCGATTCCCGGTCAGGGCACATGCTCCGGTTGTGGGCTCGATCCCCAGCAGGGAGAGTGCTGGAGGCAGCTGATCAATGACTCTCTCATCATTGATGTTTCTATCTCTCCCTCTCCCTCTCCCTTCCTCTCTCTGAAATCAATAAAGATATATTTAAAAAAAAAAAAAAAAAGAGGAAAGGGATTCTGGAGTGGCGACCTTCCTCAGGGGAAGACATCAATTAGGTATTTGCAATTCTATCAAAGATTGGATGAAATTTTATCCATTTTATTTTCCTCTCCTACCAGTCATCCCTGTCACCCCCAGCCCTTGTTTTTCCTGATTGAAGGTCCTTTAATTACACATCAGGGGAAATGAATCACTAACAGCAGCTAAGAAGCTTTGACCTTGTTTGTTTCCTTTCTTTCATATTTTACAAAATGCACTGAATATATTTTAAAATATATCACTTAAAAAATTTTTAAAGGCTTTTATTAGAACTACCATTTTATTCCTTTTTTCAGAATTCCCTCAGATGTTCTGAAAGGTATTTGGGGGAAAAAGCATTTATAAGAAAAACACTGAAAATCTGGAGGTCTCCTTAATGCACTCTAAGTAGCATGTGGTCTCCCCAGGAGCCATTACTTGGTTAGTCATTCAAACTAGATTATCATTTCGATGAGCAAGCCCGTGACCCACCACAAACTACATGTTGAACACAGAGGTTAGTTCTTAGCTGGGGTGCATAATGGCACTGTGAGTTATAATAAATACCTAAAAATAAGTAAATATGCCAAATATGACCAAAAAAAGTAACCATGATTGCCTCAGATTTTCCAAATATCCATCGACATTTATAATGCGAACCATAGCTCTCATAGTTACATCAAAAACGAAAGTGTATTGCATTTTACTTACTGTCTCCATTTCCCTGTGAGCTCCTTTGGTTTTCTGTTTGTTTGTTGGGGGGGTTTTGTTACTCTCTTTTTGTTTTTTTTTGTGCAATACACTTTTAAAGAGCCTGATCACATGAAACATATAACTAGCCTCCCACAACCATGTGGATATTCACTGGCTACACTGATCAGGCCCTTGGCAGTAATTCCAAATTTCATTGTTAGTTTGCCTAGTTCAGTGTTCTCCAAAAGGCAGTTACATAGCGTGCCACCACTATGACTTTGCCTTATCAATTATTCACCTACTATTATTTAATACTTTCTTCAAACATCCACTTTTATTAAATTATTGAAATTTAAATTTCATATCATTACCATAAATGGAAAACCAGGAGAAGCTGCTATAAACAAGAGATGACTGTAAAAATAAATGGAATGGAAACAAGTCATGTGGAATTTTATCTAGATTGGGTTGCCTGTCCTCCACTGTCCACCCTCAAAGAAACACACCCCACATGTTAGGGTTGTGTTAAAGGCCAGTACCAAAATGAGAATTTCTCCTTGATGTGTTCAGAAGGGTTGGAAAGGGACCAATGTTCTCAATATATGACTCAATGTTATGTAATGACTGCACGTACCACCTAAATCTTCTCACGCACCAGGTATGTGCCCCACCTTGGGAACCACTGGCCAAGCTTCCATCCTATCACCACTAACAGCAGAAACTGTGGGCTCTGGCCCTGGCTGCTGTGGCTCAGTTGGTTGGAGTGTTGTCTCGTACACCAAAAGGTCGTGCATTTGATTCCCAGACAGGGCATATACCCAGGTTTCGGGTTCGATCCCTGGTCAGGACACCTATGGGAGGCAACAAATCAATGTTTCTCTCTCACATCAATGTTTCTCTCTCCCCCCCCGCCCCAACTCCCTTCCTCTCTCTCTCTCTCTCAAGTCAATAAAAACATATCCTCGTGTGAGGATTAAAAAACAAAACACAAAAAAACTGTGGGCTCTGGAACCACACTGCCTGGGTTTGACCCTCACTTTAGCACGTTCTAAATGTATAACCCTAAGCAAGTTAATACTTCGCTTGGGACTCAAACTGAGAATAATAAAAAGGCCTATCTCAAAGTTGAGTGTTGATGCAAAAGATTCTGAGACATTCCTTAAGCAAAAAGATACTCAAAACATTTATTCACCCTGTCGGGGTAGCTCAGTTGGTTAGAGCATCATCCTGATATGGCAAGGCTGCAGGCTCAATCTCCGGTCAGGACATACAAGAATCCACCAGTGAATGTATAAATGGAACAACAAATTGATGGTTCTCTTTCTCTCCCTTCCTCTCTCTCTAAAATCAATAAATTTAAAAAATATATTTAAAAATGTATTCATCAAATGATGAATAGAAAGTAAAAGATTTGACTCTGTCCAGGGACAAAAGAAAATACTTTTTAGTAAGGATAACATTGAACAGGGACTAGAAAGACCATTTGATCGCCTATCAGTGGACAACGGATAAAAGGATGAGGGAGGGAGGGAGGGAGGGAATAGACTAACACAGGACGAAGGAAACAATTAAGACAAATACCACAGAGTTCCTCTTTTTCTTTTCCCTAACTGCTAAATTCAAGGTCTCAGATTTCTGCTAGGACCAAACCTCCCTCCACCCCGTATTATCTGGCATCTTCGAGTTCATCCCCTAAGCACCCATGAGCAACTCTGCTCAATTTCCCATCTATACTCTGTCTATAGTCTGACTTCTGTTCCGTTGTAACAGTCTCTCTTAGCTGACACCAATATAAACGCGGGTCCTCGTGTCCCAGGGACAGTGCCCTGAGCAAGCAGGTCAGAATTATCACATCTGTGAATTTCACCTTCACCGCTCAGACCACGCTGCCCGGCCTGCGCCTCCTGCTCTCCGGCGGAACGTCCTGTTCCCTCTAATGAGGCCCTGGAAGGCGCAGGGCCAGAACGATGCTTCCCGCTCCGCGGTCAGTTAGGAAATAGTCCTCGCAGATTTTGATGTTATATAGAAGAATTTAAAAGCATCCTCAAATCAACATCAAGATGTTGCAGGTGAATAATTAGTAGTTATGTTAGGAGAGATTTATTTTCAGGACAAAAAAAAAAAATTAATGTATTCTAATGATTCTAGCTCTCTTTAACATAATTTTAACACGTGAGCAAAACACAGAGAACAAGAGTGCTACAAGTTTAGATTCTAGGATTCCAAAATCAAGTGGCTCCTTCCAAATTTGTACTGAAGTCTGTGCTTAGCGCTAAAATTCAATTATTTTATTATGGCGTATTCCAATTAAAACCTATAAATACTCATTCTTTACAACCTCCTTTATTCTCTTAAATTTATTTTACTTCATATATATTGCTTAGAAAGTCTGACCACATTTTGTCAGATTTTACTCCCAGATATACAAAAATCCAATTAATAGAATCTATGCTATTATAATTCCCAAAGCCAGAATTAAGTGAGGAATCTAACTTACATTTAAAATTCTTGGCAAATAATTTTTGACAGCATATAGGGAGCCTATCTATTTACATAAAACCATACTACATGTAATGCCAGACTAAAAAACAATTTATTCTAAAGTTAATATATAAAAACACTATAAATATTGCTATAAATATGGAAAGATCTTTTTCCATAAATTCAAGAAACAACCTTTTTATTTATTTATTTTTATTGAAATTATTGGGCAAGAAACAATCTTGACATGTTTGGGAATGCAAATGAAGAATACATGGGCAATAATATGGGTTATAGTCTTTGGCTACACTAGCCATGTGCCCAGTATCTGCATGGGCTTCAGTTTCCTTCTCTAGGAAAATAAAAGGTTGCATGAAATGACTGAGAAGTTCTGTAATTATTTGCTTTGTGCTTTTACTTGCCCTTTTCCCTCTTATGTTCCCCAGGATATCTAATGTGTACACATGTTTTATTTTTTTTAACAAATATTTACTGAGTGACCACTATTTTCCTGGAAATTTCTTAGGCACTAGGGATACAGTTTAGAAAAAACATGGTTTCTGCTCACTTAACTTTGCAATGTAGTGGGCAAGATGGGCATCCAACAAACAAACCTCATTGTGCTCTGCAGGTTATAACAGGGGACTTGGGTTAGATTGGGGGCATCGCAGAGGCCACAGGGAAGTGGCATTTAAAGTGAAGAGAGACGCAAGCACAGCCCAGCCTTGCAGGTGTACAGTGGGAGCTGAAAGTGGACAAGCCCAAGGGACTGACAGGGAAGCAAGGTAGCTGAGGCACAGCGGCAGAGGGTGCGGGCATGAGTGACAGCCTTTGCCAGAGTGTATCCGGGAGGTTAGACTGTATTGTAAGGCCAGGAGCTCAGTGACCCTGAAGTGCCATGGCTTCCTAGCTGCGTGACCTTGGGCAGTCCCCTCCTTTAGCGCGATGGGGAGCAGTGCCCAGCAGTGGGGAGCAGTGCGCGTTTGTTAGCATCAGCAGCATCCTTCCTGGCTGCAGGGCCAGAGCAGCTCAGAGGGGGGCCCCCCGTGAGAGGGCTGACATGGGGGTCCTGGGCTCATCTCCTCCCTCTCAGGCTGCTTCTACAGTAAAATGAAGGATCTGGAGAGGAAATTGTGACAACCCTGACTTGCAGTAATGTAACAAAAAGGCAGCTCTCAGTGAACAGAAAGGTGCTCTTGAATCTCTTCTCTGAATTTTGAGATTAAATGGACATTGTAATATTGGGAAAATATTTAAGAATTCTTGCTTTGCAGTTGTCATAATTTTAGTTCAAGAAGATGAACATGGTCTTTTCTACAAAAGTTTCCTTCCAAAATTATTGAGTGTAGCATCATTTGTATTTCTTCACCAACAGTGAATCCTTTAGAACCTCTATCACCACTTACTGTTTCACTTTGCAAGTTAGAAATCTCAGCAGATAAATTTCTCAGCTTCAGTCACAAATAAGAGTCTGCGCCCCAACCCAGACTCTCTCAACAGCATCGTAATGTAACAGTTTCCTAAACCTTCCTAGAACAGTGACAGACTTTCTCAGGGTTTTAGCAGCAGCTTAATTATGCATCCTTTTAAAAACAGACACACACAAACTATCCAGGCTTTTAAACTTACCCCAATAGCTGCTAAGATTGGGGCTTGGTAAATCCATTTGATGCCTCCAGCGCTAAGTTCCCAGCACCTGAGACAGGAAAAAGCTTTCATGAATAAATTGGCAAAGCAAACAGTGAGAATTAAGTAGCATTTTACATTTTACAAAAAACTCCAGCCCTGAGTTCTTAAGAAGCAAATAACCAAAAAGAAAAAAATGTGGAAAAATAATGTGTAATGGGTCCTGGTTTCCATATTATTAGCTATAGAGTATTATAAATATCGGTGAATTCACTTTATAGTAACAAAATGAATTCACGTTTCCAGTCAAAACCACGTTTCCAGAGCCACAAAAAAATTAGTCTTCTAAATGTGGTGCAACTGGTACTTTATTTTTATTCCCATTGGAACTGATGCTTTTATTTTTATTATCATTTTCAGAAGTTACAGCAATTCAATTTTATACCCAACTTATAGAGCACTGAAAATAATGCGAATCTTTCTTACCCATAGGAATGCAGTAGAAAATTTACAATAACATGAATGATTCTTATTGATAGGAATGTAATAAAAAGCAATGCAAATGATTTTTGTCCATTGAAATTAAAATTAGCTGTGTTTGGTGGAATATAATTGATTAATGTCCTGTGAATATTGACAAGTTTTTGCATTTATTTGTAAATTTATTTCAGCATTCATCTTACTAAATACAAACACGTGATTCTTTTATTTCTCCTTTGAACCAATTATAATATCTTACTGGTTCCATCATTAATTAATGAGTTAAAAAATCTTTGACAGGTGCTCATTTCTATTTGTATAAGATGCATGATGTTATCCTTAATTTTAAAAAGTTAGTTTTTAGCAATATTTAATGAAAACACTATATAATTTACCTAATTGCTATATTTATCTTCTTCCCTCCCACTCCAACCAGAATTCAAGTTCTACATGGGCAGGGACTACTTGGTTCTTGCCTCCTGTTGTATTATAAGTGCCTGGAATAATACCTGGCATGTAGGTATAAATATCTGTTGGATTGAATTGACTTCAAAGTAAGTTTGACTAACCTCACCAATCTGGTGTGTGGTGAAGGTCTTCCCCTAGAATAACTAGCATAGAGTTGATAAAAATTAGTTCCACTTAAAACTTTAATGTAGAACTTTAAAGAACTTTTTTAAGCTAAAGATACATAAATAAAAGCCTTCAGCTTCTTTTTCCTTAGACAAAACCCAGCATTGATTGTGGCAATAGTAAATGAAATCATATAAAAATATTATAGAGATAGAATGATAATTTTTTAATTCTATATGATAAACTATCAAGAAGTTACTTTTAAATTAATGAACAAGTTGTGATAATAAGAAACTATTTCAACTATTCCTTGAAGCCAACACATTTTCAGCACAGAAATAATAACTACATATTTTAAATTTTAATTTTTTATATAGGCAATACACTTATTTCAAATACCAAACTACCAAACTCTGTAAAAAGGCAGACATTGAGACATCTCAGTCCCTCCCCAAATTCCTGTCAGCCTTGCCCCTTAGAGGTAATATCTTTTATTACTTTATTATAATATGCTTCCAGTGTTTCCTTATGCATACACAAGCAAATACAAATATCATAATCTTATTTCCCCCTACATAACAAAAAAAATGCAAGGAATACCCTGTTCTGCAATGTGCTATTTCCTTTTTACGTTATATTTTTTTCTTTCTTTCCATATCAGTACAAAGGGAGGTCAGCAGCAGAGCATTCCATTGGGAGCATGTACCACAGTTCAATAAACCAGACCCCTGGACCAAACTGTCATTCTGCCACACTGAAATGAGCAACATCATGGGCTTGAAGTTTAAATAACATGAAAATCAAAAACAAGGACATTTTAGACCTGCACACTACTGAACATTTCATAGCATTATTTGCATGTATCTAATTTTTACATTATTCAACCAAACAAGAAAGATTTTTTTTTTAAAGTTACTTAGATGTATACAATGTCTATCACACTACCCTGGGAAGGCTTTCTACCATAAGAAACATGGCTTAGATCGTGTGAATATAAATTGAACATTGATTCACCAGCTATAAGACTCTTGGAGTCTATAAATTTTCTTTTTGGGTTTGACATTTGGTAACATATCCACAATCCTCTTTCTCTGCTTCAGTGACATTTCATCATGGAATTCAATTACACAATTCCAGCTCTACCTATTTCTTGTATTTGGAAATAGGGCAAAACCAGCTACCTCTAAAAATAGGAAAACTTGGCTGTGATCATTTTCAATGGCAAAGTTTCAAATTTGCCCTTTGATAGAAGAGGCGATTGAGATTTCATATTTTTTTAAAGAAAATGCTATAATCCTCATTTTTCATTAGTTCTTCAGTGTCCCAGCTCATACTGTGCTTGTCAACATGGCCCAGAAAGTACTCATTGTTTAGATTTTTTAAAATAAATTTTAACACTCTGGGAAATGCAGGAATGAATGTCAGTAAAAATGTGGCCCTGAATGGTGGAGCATGAGGCCCAGAGGAACGACTAGAACGCAGGTCTCCCTGCACCCAGAGCTGAAAAGAGGAGATATGCTGCTCAGCCAGAGGGATCCAGGGAATTGCACTGGCTGAAAGCTGCACTGTCTCCACCGCTCACAATCTGATCAGAGTAGGGGGAGAGAAGGAGCCCTGAGAGCCTTGCAGATTTCCCAGGGATGACAGAGAGCTCCTTTTCTGGGTCCTTCCACTGCAGGCCCACCTTTCCTGCCGGCATCTCTTGTCCTTTGGATGAGCAGGGAGAAGGTAATAAGGTGTTTTTGCTTTTGTAAGTAAAAAGAAAGAGAAACAAAAAGACTCACTTTTTAAGTTCATTTGTCCAAACTAAGCTACTCAGTTATCTTAACCTATAGTCAAATAACCCTTCTGATAGAATTTTAGAACTGGAAAAGCCTTCCTTTGTATATTTAATAGAGTCTAGAGTATCTTCTAAAACTAGGTCTGATCAGCTTATCTCCAAATGGCCAAGATGCAGAGAATTTCAGAGTTCTAGCTTTGAAAGGCCAGACCAGAAAAAGATGAATCTCAAATGTAAGAGGCATGAGCAGGTACCCCATCCAACCTTTGGAGATGCCCCAAATCTGCTCTCTTCGCCTGAACTTTGAAAATCACTGCTGTAACATTTCAAAGAGCCAAAGCAGCCCCGCCTAGACACTCTCCTGTTGCTTCTTCTACTCTAAGCCCTTCCTTGTTTCACTGCCCCAGCTTTAATAAACATACTCTCAAAAAAATAAAAACAGAAGTAACCCTCAAGAGAGCCCATAATCTTGCTAACTATCCTGTAATCCAGTCCCCACATTGCCTTCTCCAACCTTCCTATGTCCCATCCTCAATTTCAAATGCATAAAACCAGCTGCAAAACTGTTATTCTCAGGAGCATCTGAGATCTTGCTCCCCGGCTTATGTTGTCGGTTTGGCTCAAATAAATTCTTACTATTCTACACAGGTTTGGACATTTCTTACGTCTACAACAACAATGTAGAAAACCCTCAATTACTAACAAACCCAAATGGCATGAAGAGATAAAGTGAAGTAAAAATGCAAAGAAATAAGTTCTAGAACTGAGGGAAGCTGACGAATGGGGAGTTTGGGAGCAAGGAGTAGGAAGGCTGCACCCCAAAATAATGATCTACAGACTTCAGATTTTCAGAAACAGGGTAGATTCTTTACACAGTTCATGTGCTCACGTAGCAGAGCGTTTTCCTCACTGCACAGCAGACAAATGATTTCTGAAGAAAATACCTAGTAACGCGAAACAAATGTGTAGGCTCAAATTAAAGAGAGGGTCCCAGGAGCTAACAAAAATGTACTGTCATGAAGCGTACATAATCGGTGGATATTAAATTGCTTCTGCTCACATAAAAGAATGACCAACATAACTGCAGTTAGGCTGAGTTAAAGCTGTCCCTCTTTAAATCACCTTTGCATGTAATATAAGTGTATGTACGAGTCGGCTCGGCTGCCATTACAATCTATAGCCCTCTGGGTGGCTTCAACAGCAGACACATTCCTCCCAGTCTAAAGGCTGCAAGTCCAGGATCCAGGTGCCGTCATGGTCCTTTTCTGGGGACGCGTCTCCTGCTGTCATCTTGCTGTGTGCCCATGAGACCTATATTTGTACGCACACGGAGAGACAGGAAGCCCTCTGGTGTCTCTCTTTTTTTTTTAATCTTTATTGTTGAAAGTATTACAGATGTCTCCTTTCTTCCTCCATTGATCCCCTCTACCCTGCATCCACCCCACCCCCAGGCCTTCCCCATACCAATGTCTGTGTCTATAGATTATGCGTATAAGCATATAAATTCTCTGACTAATCTCTCCCCACCCACTCCCCCAACCCCACATTCCCTCTGAGATCTCTCAGTCTGTTCCATGCTTCTATGTCTCTGGGTCTATTTTGTTCATCAGTTTATTTTGTTTATTATATTCCACATATAAGTGACATCATGTGGTACTTGTCTTTCTCTGACTGGCTTATTTCATTTAGCATAATACTCTCCAGTTCCCTCCATGCTGTCCCAAAGGATAAGAGATCCTTCCTCTTTACAGCTGCGTAGTACTCCATCGTGTAAATTTGCCACAGCTTTTTTATCCACTCATCTACTGATGGGCACTTGGGCTGTTTCCAGATCTTTGCTTTGTAAATTGTGCTGCTATGAACATAGGGGTGCATAAGTTCTTTCTGATTGGTGTTTTGGGGTTCCTTAGGATATATTCCTAGAAGTGGGATCACTGGGTCAAATGGCAGCTCCATTTTTAATTTTTTGAAGAAACTCAATCTGGTGTCTCTTTTTAAAAGGAAACTAATCCTATATCCAGAACCCCACCCTTCTGACCTCATTCAGTCTGAATTATCTCCTTATGGGCCCCATCTCCGAATACAGTCACACTGGGGGTTAGGGCTTCCATGAATAAATTTTGGGGAGAGAGTTCGGTCCATAGCAATAAGTCTGACCATGAGAGTGCAGAGCAGGCACCCAAACGCTCTGCTACTTTCATCTCTTCTTTTTCACTCACCTTGCATCAGCCAGAGTTGCTCGTGCCACAGCCCAGGCTGCAACAAATACTGCGGGGAACCCTGCAATCAGAAAAGGATCCAGAGACTATGTTTTTTTATAATTAAGGGATTTTTTCCTTATATCTACCACGCATAAAAATATACTATTAAACGTAGAGAGAGGAAAAACAGACATGAAAAATGTTACTATGTGAACAAGGAAAGTTCTAATTTTCATCTGGTCCATTTGAGAAGTGAGCCAATACAGGGATGTTATTTGGTCCCAAAAGTCTGAAGATAAAAGTTGGCCCAATTTTCACTTGAGAGATGTAGAGCCCAGTTCTATGGGGAGTGGACTGAAGATCCTGGGGCCAGAAGCAGGCAGCGGCCGGTGCACTGAGGGCCGACCCTCGCCACGCTCGCTGCCGGCCACGTGGCTTCAAGGAGGAGTAAAGAGCAACAAGAGGGACTCAGGAGGATGGCAGGGGTGCTGTTGTTCCCGAAAAATCAGCAGGTTTCATTCTAAAAGTGGACGCCACAGAGAGGCTATTCAGCAAGTTACAAAATTAGGAAGTTTTAATCAGTTTAGCCTCTTCAACAAAAAACAATTTTTTGTTGTTCATATTGGCTCAAGACAGGAGCATTTGTACAGATTAAAAACTTAGCAAAGGGTGGCTGCTGTTAGTTTGGCCAGTTTGTTCTCCCTGAGTGATAAACACCTTGCGAGCTTGCAACGTCAAATCCATTACACTGAGTTGCCACGAGTCCTTTGCCCCCAGGAAAGGCTGACTGTTCAGTTTGTGCTATAGTTGACTAGACTTTGACATCACAAAAAAGAAATTACGAACCATAACTTTTATGGAACATTGCAATAGGGGATGAAAGGATGTAATGAATAACTTTCATTGTGTGACCTTTAGAAAGGTGGTTTAAAAAAAATAAAACAGAGAGAGAGAGACCATAATGAAAACACTACAGAAGCTAGGAAGCACCTTACTAAGGGACAGGGAAAATTTTAATCTAACTTAGAACATTGTTTATTAAAAACAATATTAAATTCTTGCCCGGCCAGGTGTGGCTCAGCAGTTGGGCATCTACCTAGGATCCAGGAGATGGCGGTTCGATTCCCAGTCAGGGTACGTGCCCGGGTTGTGGGCTCGATCCCTAGTCAGGGGCGTGCAGGAGGCAGCTGATCAATGACTCATCATTGATGTTTCTCTCCCTCTCCCTCTCCCTTCCTCTCTCTGAAATCAATAAAGATATATTTTTAAATATATATATATTAAATTCTTTACTTTTTAAGAAAACATTTGTAACTTCCCTGATATTTCTTCTTAGCAAAAGAGTGAAGAAAGAGATTCAGATGAAAAAAAATGCCATGAAGAACTGAAAATAAGATGATACCCTACAATAGAGAGGTCTCCTCAGCACTCACCTAACTGAATTTAACCTCGGCCTGCCTGTGAGACTTTAATTTTATGATTCTATATTCCAATTTTATTTACTGTTTGTGTAGAACTCCTATTTTTTTTTAAACTGCTTGAATTCTATCTTTCAGAAAATTATTTTTGTCAAAATAGATTAGTTATTTCTTAGGTTCAGCCCACATATCCTATCCTGTCTGTCTGTCTGTCTGTCTGTCTATCTATCTATCTATCTATCTATCTATCTATCTATCTATCTATCTATCATCTATCTATCCTCTATCTATCATCTATCCACCTTCACCTCCCTATCTATCTGGCCACCCATCTATCCTTCCATCTACCTGTCTATCCATCGTATAATCATACATTCAGTAAACATTAATTAAGTGCCTATTTATGTGTCAAGGATTGTTCTGATCTCTGAAGATAAAACAATGAACAGCTAAACAAATATCCCTGTTTTCTTGAAACTTACAGCGGGGGAGGCAAAATTAATAACATGACTTCAGTTATCAATAGCACTATGAAGAAAAATAAGAGTGATACCAGGTGACACGGAGAGAGCATGGCTCCTTCTGAAAGGATGGTTCAGAAAGGCCTGACATGGTCCCTTTGCTGTTTTGCTGCCTTGAGTGTCTTTAAAGAGTGGCTGGTTGTCTTCCTCACCTGCAGGTCTTTACCTTCTGCTTCCTTTACAACCTCCTGACCAGACAATTTCCTGAATGTTCTACATTCATTGATTAATGATACTTGAGTTAAAATTATGTTTTAGATGATAATTATAACAAGTATCTTATATCAGGCACCATGTATCAATAAAAACTGCTTTTCTCACCCTGTTGGAAGACCCTCATTCACAAGACCAGTATAGAGACAACCGCGGAGGAATAAAGAACAGAAGCCACTTTGGGGCTCTTTAAGGCTTTTTGATCACCAATCTTGGTATCACATCATTGCCTAATTAAGAACACATAAATATAGAAAAAATGTTTGGGAATTCAGATGTTATTTTAAATTCAAATGTTAATTTAAGTCAATTTAATGTAAATGTGAATGTTACTCAATATATGCATTTACTATGAGAGCTGAGTTATTGTCATAAAATATGTCAGTATAAATAAGTGACTTTGAGAGGGAGGCAACCTCTGGTCTAAAAATAAGTAGACCTGGGTTATGGTGTGTCTCCATTAGTATTCCCCTTTAAAATGAAGGTTGGGACTAAGAGCCAAAAATGCTTTAGCAATTAAACCCTTTCTTAAAACGAAAACATATACAGCAGCCCACGGCATAAAACAGATGCCCTGAAGCCAAAGAGAGGAAGAGGGTCTCCTCGTCTTAGTCTATGTAGTTTCATCTCGTTTGGGACACCTCCGAGGCTTCACAGAGCCCCACCTCAGCCTTCGCCTAATCCTGTGCAGCTATTGGAGTCTTGTGATATCATAGGTTGATCATAAAGTGTAGAGTTAGTCCTAAAAATTAGTGACCCATCATGACATGAGGATTCCTAGATTTGCTACAGACGTCTCAGGAACCAGAAGCCTCGATGCCCCTGGGGATGCCATCTGTATTGACTGCCCAGACGCAGAGCTCCAGGCTGTGCCTCCAGGTCCCACACCATCCGAGGCAGGATGCTGGAATTCACCACCTGCTGACCATTCTTAAGGAACCCTGGAGTCCCTGTGTATAATTTCCGCAGAATTGTTCTCATGGGACCCTAAGCCAGTATCAAATAAATGCATCTCTCTGTCAGGAAAACTGCTGAGCCTTTGAAAGTCTTTTGTTGTTAAAGAGAAGAGCATTTATGAAACTGTAGAAAAGCTACCTCCTCCCAAGATGGAATTACTACAGGAAACAAAAGAAATCTTTAAAAAATATATCTAATTCATAGTCCACAAAATACTCTAAAGAATAGAAGGCACTATAAAAAAAAAAGGGTCAATATGAAACAGAAGAGCTACAGTGGAAAAGAAAGTATGTTTACTCAATTAAATGTTGCCAGTGGGCAGAAATGACAGAAAATCAAACTGGTGGAGAAGAGGTAGAATCTTGAAACCAGGTAAACCCACAGAATAAATTTACATAATTGTTACAAATGTGAATCTAATGTTGACTATAATTTATTTTTGCTTAAAGAGGTAATAATTTATATAATTTTAAATAATTGGATAAAACCCCAAACTACACCTTAAAAGTGTAGAGAAAGTGGTAAGCAGAGAAATCCAAGTTCCTTATCTTTCATAAAGTAGAGCCAAAATATAGATCTTTTAATGATTCTAATGGTTAATGTAATTTTAACTTGAAGGTAACCTTTAGTAGAATTAATAATGACATTAAAAATCATAGGGGAAGAAAGAATTATTTTTCTAAATTTTTAAATTATGTTTGCAGCAAACAATAGATTTTAATTATGCAAAGGTGCTATATTGACTATCATAAATAGTTATAGAAACAGATTTTTATAAATTAAATATTTTGAATATAACACATATCCGTAGAACAGCCAAACAAAAACCAAAATAACCTAAAGGGTCAGGCTGCATGCTTCTCATGTGTGGTATCGCTACACACATCTCCGTATTTCAATTATATTTACTGCCAAATGGATGACCAAATAATGTTTACTGGACTGAGATCGTTTTATACAGAGATGATGAAACTGGAAATGTAGTACCTTCTCCTGATTATTTGCAGAGAGTACAGAACATGAAAATATTCCACACGAAAGCTTGGCCATAGGGACGTGACTACAAGGTAGAACCAGAAAAGGTGCTTGTATATGACAATCTGCCCAATCTGACATTTCATCTGACAGCTGAAGATTAAGAATGGTTGCTGAGATAGAGGCAAATTTCATTCAATAAGGGATTAAGAAACAAGACAGGCACCTTCTAAATACAGAACTAACTGCATTTTTTAAAATGTGCAGTTGAAAGAACAAAATGTAACCAAGAGTAAAGTGCCATCTTTATCAGAAAATTGAGGCAGAGATGGGGGGAAAAGAGAATGAGGTTGGTGGAAAGAAAGGAAACACAGTCATCACCAGCATTCGCCCTGACTCCTCTCTATAGCTTGTTTTGTAAAAACACTCCTTGTAAATATTTGCCTCCAATGTCCTAGAGGACAGATGTGGCATCTGTTCCTCTTTAGACTGTCATTTCCTCCCCTTCCAGCTGAGTGTTAAAAATCAGCAAAACTGACATGAATGACACGCAGCTGAGGAGAGCTGGAAGTTACGACAACTGGGTCCAAATGAGTGACAAGGGATCCGAAAGCTCTGCTCTCTAGTGAAGCAGATAAATCACATCCCTGAAAGAAAGCACGAGACTGGGTTCACGATGAATTAGTCTAGCAAAGGACCCTGGCAAAGCAGCTGTAATGTTTTTTATCATTATTTTTCTCACAGGAATTTGGAAAAATGAGTAAGAAATAAAAATGTTTTAAAGTCAGACTCTCAGTGTTGAGATGAGGGGAAAATAGCCTATTAATCAGACAGATATTTACTTCATTAGATAGTAGCTGTGTCTGAGTAGCAGAGAGATAGTCTTCAAAGACTATTACTATTCTTTTAATTATATATGCCCTAGACTAGAGCATTTACTTGTTTAAAAAAATTGAGTTTAAAAGAGAGGGAGTCAGAAGATAGACCAACTCTAGAATCGTAACTCTATAAAGATTGGTTATTAGTGTATTAGATTGTGCTTAATTGAGTGAGCATAACATTGAATGTAAAATGTTTTTTCAAAGTGAGCTTTCATGTAAATCCTACTTGCTTTCACGTATGTTCTTAAACCATTTGATAAAACGATTTCAAGGGATGAAGCGTATCTACTGTAGTTATCATTCATATGCTAACGTTTTTGTGGACAAGCTCACTGGACTTTTTAAAAAAATTCTCTTTTTCATAGAAAGACTTGAAAACTAGTTTCCTGGGTTTCAGTAGACAAACTCCTGACTATAAGGAGGAACAGAATTGACTTATAGCCCCAATAAGAGTTGATGGGGAAGTTAGCTATCAAACCAATAAGTAAACAGAGATAAAAGAATTTATTACAAGTATGACAAGTGCAGTAGAAATCCAAAAAAATAAAAGGTAATGTAGACAAATGTCTACATCTACTGTTAAATTTTCTATTAACATTTTTACCAATGTCTAGTAATTAAGATGGTACGCAGATATAATTTTGACTTGAAGTCAAACTACCAAAAATTGTCAAAAAAATGTTCAAAGTACCCTAAAAAATGCAATGTATCTTTTTTATTTCTAGTAACTATTAGTTAAAGATATCAGAGAGCCACAAAACAAGCAAGCTGCCTTCCGAAACAGAACTTTATTCATGATAACCATTATTTCATAATAAATGAAGTGTTACAGTAAGTTGACCCTTTGTCTTCTTAAAGGTTATTAATCAACTAGCAGGAAACTCAATATTCCTCACTTCACATTTTCAAATGTTAAAACAATTTTAAGGCAAAATGGGCCAAGAATATTCTAATGTTGGAGGGGAGAAAAAAACCTTCAAATTTGATCTTGAGCTACTTAGTTATTTTTTTTCCTATATTGAGCACCTCATAATTTAAATGGTAAAATAGCAATTGTGATACACAATTGTTCATCTTGAAACTTAATTATAACCACATATGAGTTTTGATTTCTCTTAAATTTTAATAAACAACATCCTGTTCTCCACATCACACTGCATTTAGTGCGTCATCCAATAATCCCTCCAGTACTGATAAAGTGTTTTTGAAATATGAGCTGAATATCATTTTTTAAATTACTTAGCCCATAAATAATTTGGATTATTTCCATCCAAAGACACAGTAAATCCATATAATTAGTTTGTAATTCATATTGTTACATGCAGTCAAAATGCTCTTATACATTCCTTTCTAGCATTTTCATTATACAACCTAGAAAACAAATCAACGATGCACTATTATAGCTTAGAGATTCAAAAACTATTGCTAACTCAGGATACTGACATAAGATATGAACAGAGCACTTCTAAATGTATATGGCTTATGCTTCCACCAAAAAATCCTCTCAAGAATCTGGCCTAAGAACACTTGCCATATGCTAACCATGAAAAGTTTGTTGCCACTGGGAGGATTACAGACTTGCCCTTATAATTTTTCCTCGATGAATGATGAAAGAGAAAGAAGGAGGGAGAGAGATAAAATGAGGAGGGATCATTTCAGGAAAATGGCTGAGAGAATGTTCATGATAGCGTGACAGAAAGCCCTAAAATCCATAATGCAGTTTAAAAGAAAAAGAGACAATTTCCTTACCCCAGCCTATCAAGGTGAAGCCCCACAGGTATTTGGTGTCAGAAAAGAAAGCCACAAAGATTAGACTATGCAGGTAGAGACCTTCCACCAAGATCCAATAGTAGTTTGTAGCCAAGAAGTAAATAAACATCACAACAGCAATCTTGCACCCAATCTGTCACAAATAAACCAGAATTGCATCACATTAGAACTCCTAATTGTACTGACTGCCAACATTAGGCAGTCATTTCCTTTTTATAATCTATGTCTCTTGGACATATGAGGGCAAGGCTGTAACAAAATTAGTTTAACATAGCATTTTTAAGATTATAGGTTTGATTTTGATTTTTTAAATAAAATGTTTTTCCTTTAGAAATTACAAAAAAAATCACTTTTCTTTCATTTTTCCTGTTTATAAAAAGTATCCATGATCATTAAAGAAGATTAGGAAAGTACAGAAAAGCATAAAGAGGAAAATATTATTCATCATTCTACCATAAATTTGTTTTATTCTGGTCTAACTTGTATGCCCCAAAAGTTAGTGACTTAAAACAATAAACATTTAATACATCCTATGAATCTCTGGATTGACTAGGTGATTCCGCTGATCTTGGATGGCTAGGCTCTCGACAAAGGTGTACCTCTGACTGGCACACTGTCACTCCTACTTCATTCTATTGTGTAAGACAAGCCACAGAGCCAGTCTAGCATCAGAATCAGCAGGAAATATAAAGCTACAAGGGAAAGGGCAAAGATACAGGTAGGGCATTAATTCGCACCAATGAAACAGTCTACTATACTTAATTTCCAGATATGTTGCCTTAAGGATCTAATTAACTGAAATATTGGGTGATTCTCTTCACTAAATAACACCAGGACACTTAACAGAAGAATCAAGTACGATGGAATTTATACTGAAACAAGTCTGTGAGTCTACAATAGAGGAACTAAAATGTCACGGGCTTTTAAATCCCAAGCTTCTGGTTTTGCTAGCAGGCTTTTTCCTTTGCAGGTGGGGTGGTGACAGCTGCTGCGGGATATACATCAAATGACATTGCAAACATGTGCTTTTTGCAGTTTCCATTTCAGAACACCCTTGAATGAGTGCTTAGGCATGAGAATTAAGGACAGAATTGAGATAGTAAGCATCAGTATACAAACCGGTCATCCGTTTCAGTTAGTCCAGAGATAAGATAAGTCAAAACAACCCAACACATATTTAGTGGACTGTAGAATTTCACTTCTTTGTAATGTTATACAAATCAGTAATGAGTGAAAGCACTTACATATTGTGATTTGTCCACAGAAGGTGCATCTATGAGATTCTGTAGGTCGTCCTGCATCATCAGGGACTGCAGCTCCTTGACACCTATGTGAGCATGGACCACTCTGTCCTTGACAAAGATGCTTGCAGCTCTCAGCATGAAAGACACAAATAAGTGCAAGTGGATATAGTTCCTAGTGCAATGCAATCGTCTATGGAGGGGAAATAATCAGTTATAGATTTGGATAAAAATAGAAATGGGCAAAGAAATACATAAGTGAGCCCAAACTCCTCCCAAAAAAGAGGAAAATATAATAAACCTAAACAAAGACAGAAACCCATTATCATATATCTCCAACAGAAACAACTGGGATAGAAAACTAAAATGTATACTTTTCGGGAATTAATTTCAAATTTATCCTTATTTGCTACCATGTTCATCCAGATTTTGCAGTGTTAATTATACTAAACTATACTAGAGCATTATACTATGCTGTCTATTAAAATAATAAATGGTCCTCTCAGACTGACTCTTCAGTGGGAGTGTCATCACAGGTGAGCGGCACTTGGTCAGGCAGTTTATCAAGTGTACATGGCAATGGTTTACTGCGAGTGGTGCCATCAATGAATATAAGTAGGTTTTGATTTTTCAGAGACTCAGCACTATTTACTACTCTAATAAAGGAGTATTTTGTTTTGTGAAACAGAAGGGTTTCAGAAATTTTGTATAATCTTTTCTGTATACTATAGCAATTACATATAAAGTAATTATAGAGAAAGAATCCACTATTAAATACTGTGATGAACTATGATGTAAATTGAAGAATTATTAGTCATTTGTATCCTCCTGAAATGTTATGTTCCTCATAAATATTTGCCTATTTTCTGAACAAGCACGGCTAAGCTTGGGGTAACAGAATGACCTCTGGATAGGAGTCAGAAAAGGAAGGTCCTGTTTCCAGCTGGACCACCTATCAACTGTGCCCTTGGACACTGAGCTTTCAGTTTCCTGGTCTCTAAAATGGGATAATACTCGCCAAGACAACTGCACAAAGCTATTTTGAGGAACCCTTTATAGTCTCACAATTGTGACTGTGTTACCTTTCCACTTAAAACTTCACTGCCTCCCTGTTACCTACATTAGAAGACAAAATTCAAAGCCCTTGACAAGGGCCTGCAAAACCCAGTGCCACAAAATCTAGTCTCTTCCTGGACATTCTGATACAGCCACTCCTCCCTATGTATCAAATTCTGCATTCGAATGGGACTCTTCTATGCTCTCTGAGTGTACTCTGCTCCTCTGTGCCTCCGACTTTTGCACATTCTGTTCCCATCCTTTGGAATGTGCTGAATCCCTTATCGTTCAATATCAGCTCACACGTCCCTTGTTCTGGGAAGTTTCTCCTATCTTATCAGTATTGGACTCCACACCAACTGCATCACATATTTCTCAAACTGTGCACTGACGGTTTTCTCAGCTATTTGCATCACAAACCAGCATCATGAGTATATATAGCCTACATATGCTGTCTACTATTTTATCTCCTTATTGGTAATCAAAATTTTGTGTTGATTTAGATTAAGCTGAATTAATTTGGACAAACAAGTAGATAAAAATAAGCCACAGCAAGTGCAATAAATACTACTTCTTGATATATGCTATCAGATAATTTGGGAGACTTAAAATGAATTTCAGTCCAGTGTCACCAAAATCATATGAGGAAAGTGACATAAGTCTTTACATCAAGAATGAAAATTTATGCAACTCATTCAACTCTGTCCTGCTTCACTTTGCAAACAAATACACTACAGTGTAGATCTGTTGGCTTAATGGTGTCACACTGCTTTGATACCTTGAGATTTTAAACAAACAAACACAACCCTGAATTTCTCATGAAAAAAAAATTGTCTGAGTCAAGTCATATAATAACACTCAGCTAAATTCAAAAGCTTGTGTTGGGAAAAATATTTGGGGACACAAATTGTGAGACCTCTGTGTCTTTGATGGATAAAAATGGGAATGGGAATCACTCACCTGAAGTAACCAATGATGAGAACAGCCACAGCCAGGGAACCAAAGGAGATGGAATATCCAACAGTGTACATGACATAGAGGCGTTCAAAGAGCTCTTGCTGCAGAGGAAGGGATTTAATTAGAAGAGCAGGTTTGAACAAATTGGTCAATGTAGATGAACCTAAAAATCACGCTTTTACCAGTTTAGAGAGAGCCAATGTGTTATTACACTCATATAATACTATAGATTGTTCTTCTGGTCTTCCTCTTGTTTCCTAAATTCGAGTCAGCGTTAAAGATGTAAGAACGATATTTGGCATTTCTTATTGCTCAAGTGAGGGCAAATTAAATGTTGCGATATGTACTTCATATATTTTTGTACTGTTCATTTCAACTAACTGGAATTGTATATCTGACCTATGACACATGGGATAAACAAAACACATGTTACAAGACTATTTTTAGAGGAAATTGGTAAAAAGAATATGTCATTTTTGGAATATTATTTCTAGCTTTCTTTAACCTTTTTATTGAGCTGTACTTTACTTGAACTAAAATGTACAAATCTTAAATGAGTTGGATGGGTTTTAATAAACCAAGTTCGTTGTGATCTGTGCAAGTCAGAAAATCAGCCACCAGCCACCCCTAGCTAACTCCTGTTCCAATTTCTGTCACCACAACTTAGCTCTGTTTATGTATTTCATATACTTTTTGACTGTTCTTGGAGTTCTTAGAATTATATAGCATGTACCCTTTTTGTCAACATACTTTTTTGATACTCAGTGATATTGCATAAGTCAATGATTCATTCCTTTTTAATTTTTTTGTTTTAAAATAATTATAAATTCACAAGAAGTGGAAATAATAGAAAGGCTCCAGGTACCCTTCACCCAGTATCCTCCAGAGGTTTCATCTAACATAATCAGACTAAAGTATCAAAGCCAGGAGTTTGACATTGGTGCAATCTGTGTGTTTATAGTTCTATGTCATTTTAACACGTGTAAATTTTTATAACCATCACTGCAATCACGACGGAGAACTATTCCATCACCACTATCTCCCTACCATCCCTGACACCTGGCAACCATTAATCTATTTTCTATCTCTATAATTTTGTCATCGTGAGTTTTACTCCTGACGTATGAGTGACAGGAGTTTAAGCATGACATTTAAAGCACTACATATAACTTAAAAGTCACTATCTAGAAGTTTTCAAAGTTTGCATACAATTGCTAGCCTAGAAACGGCACTGATGAGGAATTTGTGGATCAGGCCTCTGCTTTAGACCCTGCCACCAGTGAGTTGTGTCACTTTGACCAACACTTAGTCTCTGGTTCTGAGTTGACTGATGTGTGTAAAATTAGGTATCGTGCTGGGAGACCTATGGAACACCCTGTGCTCTTCTTTAATTCTACACCTCTAATCTTTTACATACTAATGAAATCAACCACTGGCTAATCTTAGGAGATAGAAAATACATCTCTAAAATGGAAAGTTCCTCCTGGAATATTGAGTGAAATAAGATACAGCCATTTACAGGTAATTAAGAAAAATCATGAATCCTGTTGCTGATTAGCTACTTAAATCTTTATACATAATACAATGTAATATAAACATAATGCAATGCAACAATATACACAGAGACACATATTTATAAGTATATATGTATATATCTCAGCCAGGTAACTCTAACCTAAAGAAAATACCAGAATGTTTCTGGTCCTAGACCTTTCCTTTACCAGGTATCTGAAAAGATTCCAAACTTGCTTTTATCTTTGATGATCTTTGTGTCTTAGAATAAAAGGGTTTTTCCATAAAATGGCTGGCAATCAAAAATTGCATAAAAGTCATTATTCTGCTTTCCCTTAGCGATTCACAAACACAAAATCACCACTACCTTTCCTAGGCTGACATCTGGCTGAAGAAAGCGAAGGCAGTCTGAATAATTAGCCCAGGTTTTATTTAAACTGTGCATAAAATCCCATGTTCCATTGGGGTTGCAGTGTCGCAAAGCCACTCCTGTAAAGACATGAAGAAAAACAGGGAGAGTGCTCAGGTTCCTTAGTGTCCATTGCAAAAGTGCATAAAGTAAATTTTGTTCCAAATTACTCATTTCAGAGAAAGCCAATACCTTTATGATTGAAGTCAAAAATATAAGGAGGGCAGGGGACAGCCAATATTTTCCCCACTGTTCCTCTGGGCCAACAAATGAGTCCATCCCATTCTGGAAAACAATTCCCCTCTGATGAGAAAAGAAATTAAAAAGCAAATAAACAAAAATGCAGTTAGAACCAGAGAGTAAATTCATTCAAAATACAAAATTTCAAGCCACTGCCTGTAGCAAAATGTGAAATAAATTGATAGTTTTGGAAACTAGAATGAGGTGGATTGGGTGCAAATGTCCCAAAATTCACCCGCACAGCCTCATCGGAGGGCCATGGAGAGGAACATTTGATTTGCACAAATTAAAAACATTTTAGTGACTCCAAAAGGAATGAGTTATAGCAATTACTATGTAAGAAACATTAGAATTCATTGTGAACAACTTCTGTAGTAAAATTCTTCCAACTATCATAGTTGTAGCTACATTTTTTACCCTAGATTTTTTTAATTGTTGTTAAAAAATATGGCACATGAAACAGATTGAGCTTCACAGATAAGCTCCAAATTTACCAAAAATTTTAGTAGTTCCTTTGAGTCTAACACTCATCTCAAACAAAATTCTCATAAGCTCTACCCTCCTTGAGAGGCATCCAGGACCCTAACACTTCTCACAGCCTCCATTGCCACCAGCATGGTCCAAGCCCTTCATCTCCAACCTGAATTACTGCAATAGCCTCCAACTGGTCCTTCTGACTCTGTTCTTGCTCTCATTTCATTTATTCTTTTTTTTAATTATTATTACAGCTGAGATTCAATACTATATTAGTATATTAGGATCAGGTGTATAGCATGGTGGTTAGACATTTATATAATTTACAAAGTGATCCTCCCATAAGTCTAGTACCTACCTGGCACCATATATAGTTATAGCAATATTATTGACTATATTCCTTATGCTGTACTTTACATCCCCGTGACTATTTTGTAATTCCCAATTTATATTCTTAATTCCTTCACCTTTTTCACCTAGTTCCCCAACCTCACCCCACCCCCATCTGGCAACCATCAGTTTGTTCTCTGTATCTGAGTCTGTTTCTGTCTAGTTTGTTTTTTATATTCCACATATAAGTGAAATCATATGGTATTTGTCTTTCCCTGTCTTACTTATTTCAAAAAGACATATGCATCCCTAGGTTCACTGCAGCATTATTTACAATAGTCAAGATATGGAAACAACCTAAGTGTCCATCAATAGATGATTGGATAAAGAAGATAATGTAGCACATATACAGAATGAAATCTTACCATTTGCGACAGCATGGATGGATCTAGAGGGCATCACGCTAAGTGAAATAAGCCCTTTCATTTATTCTTAACACAATAGCCCCAAATTCTCCAAAGGCTTCCCATCTCACTTGGAGCAAAAGCCAAGTCTTTACAATGTCTGAAGGCCCTGACAGGATCTGCCCTCTCCCCTAGATTATCTCCCCAACCTCAACTCCTACCAAAAGCCTCCTTTCTTTCCTGTGAACTCACCACAATTCCCCCAGATAGCTACAAGGCTTATTCCCTTACCTCCTACAGATTTTTACCCAAACTTCAATTTCTGAGTAAATTTTCCTATTTGAAATTACTTCTTGACACACTCCTTATCACCTTTCCTGCTATATTTTTCACCTTCCAATATTGTACTATTTTATTATTGTTTTCTTGAACCGCAGGTGGAAGGACCCTGAGAGTAGGGGATTTTGTCTGTTTTGTTTCATGCATTGGCCACCCAGCACTTGACAGGGGCTTAAACATTCAGCAAGTGTCAACACTTCTGCAGGACCCTCCCCGTTAGATGTGTATTGAGCTTCCAAGAAGAGAGCATATCAGCCACGTCATACTCTGACTGCCCAAAAAAAGACCACTTTTAATTAGTGCTGTTTTCATTTTCTATTGCTACCTTCACAAATTACCACAAATTTAGTGGTTTCAAATAATTCAAATTTATTATCTCACTATTTCTATAAGTCAGAAGCCTGGCAAGCTTGGCTGGATCTCTGCTCTACAGACTCACAAGGCCAAAATCAAAGTCTGGGCAGGGCCACATTCCTTTCTGGAGGCTCCTTGGGAGAATTTGCCTCCTTGCTCATTCTAACTGTTGGTAGAATTCAGTTCCTTGCAGTTGTAGGACTGAGGTCCCCATTTCCTTGCTTGCTGCCAGTTGAGGGCTGTTCCCAATTTCTAGAAGCCACTTGAATTTCTTAGCTCATGACACCCTTCCTCTCTTTTCAAAGTCAACAAAGCAGGATGAATCTTGTCACATTTCAAGTCTCCCCTCCACTCTCCTTTTCTGTGACTCTTCTGCCTTCCTCAGCTACTTTTAAGGGTCCATGTGATTAAACTGGTCCATCCAAATAGTCCAGGATAACCTCCCTATTTTAAGGCCCACAACCTTCGTTCCATCTGTGATGCCCCTTTATCATGTAACATGACCTACACAGGCATAACACCAAATATTGGAGAGTGGGCCTCTTTGGGGGCCCTCATTCTGCTACCAGAGGTGCTATCCATTACAGCTCACAATGTTTTAGTAACTAATTACGCTGTTAGCTGAGGATTTTTGTTCTCACTAATGTTCATGACGTCAAACTGTTTGGTTTTTAACAGTCAGCATAAGAGAACCTCATAGAAACACCCATCTCTACAAAAAAGAATCCAGCATAAACTGAAATTAACTTCTTTGTGTCCACCATATCACACAGAAACAAATATTTGATTTGCTCTGTGGATTGCTGAAGCAATAAAAGAAGGAAAATGCCCTCCCTCGCCCACACTGTTCTTATAGAAGAGAACCTTTTCCTGGAAACAGCCCCACTCTGCTCGCATAAGAAAAAGCCTGGGTTTCCGATACCACGAGCAGCCCAGGAACTTGCTGCACTGGCTCCTACTCCTGCTGCCCAGCTCACCCGCCTCTTTGCCCCGTTCCCTGCTTCGTGTTTGTTTTCTGTTTCCTCGGAGTGTAATGAATGGATCTCTCCCCCAACTTTGCCCCGCCGCTCCTCTCTGTGTCCGCAGCACTCCCGCGGCTCCCAGCGCTTTGCTGTCCCTAACAGGCCACCTCCTTACTCAAGGGCACTGTCCAGTCCTTTACCTGGTGGGCACCTATCACGCAACCCACATAGAAGCTGAACGCACATTCTCGTGTTCTTATCACTAGTTGCCCCTCTAAAGTGTACGCAGCAGTGTCATGTGAGAAGTTCTGGCAAGAATCAGCCACATGATGGAATAAGGCCTTCAGATTAGCCTAAAACCCAACGACTAGTTTATTTTATAGTTATGTCGTCTTTACATGGCCATGGAGGAAAATTGGCTGGTTTTTTCCTCAAGTAGAGAAAAGCAGAGTTTTCTAATTTTCTACAAGATACCACTCCACACGCATACACACACAGACATAACTCCCAAAATTCAGAAAACCAAGACTCCCCAAAATAAGGTTTCTATAGATCACATCTCTCTGGTGGCTCTCGGACAAAGAGAATAATAAATGTTCACAAAAGGTTGAAAAGATTGGGGAAGCCAGGACCTCACAGATAATACAGAGATCTTAATTAGCATCCAACTCTGATAATCTTCTCACATTCTATGTGAGTAAATACTTTCATTGTTTAGCAGAAAACTAATTATTTGCCTGATGACTCACCAATCTCCCTTCATAAATTAATAACATTAATTACATTCCCTGGAATCTTTTGTATGTGCCAGGACAAACGAAATATTAGTGACGCTTCTCGATCCATGATATTTTTCATAGGACAATCTAAAATTTGAAGACTCTAACTTGGTCTCTTTTCAATTCTACAGTTATTTACAACACAATGGAACCATATGTTGGTGAGTAAACCAGGATCAATAATATTTTGGTTTGTGTTTTTAAATACTTGAATCGTTTTATAACTAGGTATTTGCATTTACATTTCCTTTTCTTTATTATAAAATATTTTTCATAAACAAAACAGAGAATATTATATATCCATCATCTAGAATTGACACTTGTTAATGTTCTGTCATATTATTTCATGTAATTTATTTTTTTTTGGTGGTATTTTAAATTAAATTGCAGACAGCATAATAGCTCACTCCTAAATATTTTAATTTGCATCTCTTAATTTTAGAAAAAAATTTTAATGAAAATTTCTTAAGTTAGCTAGTGAATTCAAAATGACATTCTACTTTTTGACATACAAAGTGAAGAAATTTTTATTTTGATTTACATGTATTAGACATTTTCTACTGAAAGGTAGGCCAAAGTTTGATCAGATTTAATTCTATCCTATCTGTACAAAGAAAGATCTCAAAGGAAGTATCTTTCTTCTTTTAATATTTATTCATTGACTTGTTTCATATGTTTCACATCTTCACAAATTTTAGATGTTATGTAAGTTTCCATCCAGCTCGTTTACTCCTTTTATGTGCAATTCCTGCGGTGTGTGACTGAACCACACAGGCTTGGCTTTACCGGCCCTCTTCCCTCTGCCAGGAATGTCTTTACTTCTTTCCCCACAGCGAATTCCTAGCCTTTTCATTTTAAGATAAGATGATTATTCCTCCAGGAAGCCTCCTCTAATCCCTCGGCAGTGAATTAAGCTGCCTTCCCAGGGATCCCGTAGTTTTGATGCCTCTGCTGCCAATTACACCACAGCGACTCCTCCTAACGCCACCATTATCTCGGGGCAAGGACAGAACCTGCCTCGCTTTTCGCAGTACTTAGTACAGAAGCAGCAGATAAGATATTTGTTGAACTGTTAAAGAGACACTGAAGATGATAATGTTGGACTGAGGCTTCTTCCAGCTTAAAATCTCATGAGACTTCATAGAAAATAATTCATTCCTCCTTCACGGATACTACTACTTATAAGTTCCTTCCTAGCGTGTTGCTCCTGCAGTGCTCAGAGGTAGCGTGGCTGATTCTCTTTTCTGACACTACTGGTCTGGCCTTTCAGGCAACTGCTTCCTAGTCCAAGGTACCTACAAAGGCTGAGTTCATGGAAACACGTTTCTTAAAACATGGCTTAGCTGGCTGCAAATTAAAAGAATAAATCTGAGACCAGACATCATCCCATAGGGTCAGCAAACTCTGCATTTGAGGCTTTTCTAGGTTAATCACCAAAAGAATTAAATATAACACCTATCTTCTAAACTAGTAAAGGGGAGAAAGGAAGAAATAAAGGAAAAAGTCTCAATTAATTCAAAAGAAGGTGGGGGTGAGGAGTGGCAAAGGAGGAAAAGCTGGTGAACTGTAGAGCCCAAATAAGATAAATTAAATTAGTAGAATTAAAGTCAAGTATATGTATTAGCAATCGCAAGGATAAACCAGCACGCATGCTCTCTGCGGGCAGGCCGATCCCAAAGACAGGCCAGAGCAGCAGGCTGAGGCGCACAGTTGCTATTCCCAAACTCACAAATCAAGCAAGGCACTCCTCCCAGAGGTGGAAAGAGCCTTATCCTGCTACACACCCCTCTGGGCAGGGCTGGGGTCGGGGCACCTGGAGGACACAGTTCTGTTGGCGTCGTTACCTCCTTCCTGGGGCTGAGCTGTGATGTTGAGTTCGCACTGTACTTTAGCTTTCAGCACAAGGACAATCTGTTCCTCTATAGTGATGGTGCCGTCGGAATCCAGCTGCAGAAACGAACAAAACGTAAACAGCGAAAAACAGTCTCATCTTTTATTAAGCCATGATACAAACTTGCACTACCCTCTAATAGAATTGAAAAGTAAAGTTTTGATATCAAACTATTTGCTAGTCCTTTATTTGAATCAAAGTTCAAAATCCATCAATGTATAAGATTTTAACATAATCTTACTTTTACCTGATTTGCCTAAAGAAAAAAATCCCATATTAGATATAATTAGAAAATAATAATAAACACGTTGTAAATTTCCTAGAATGTTATGAAGACACAATATTTTATTAAGTCTCTTGCAGTATGTCAGTTATGGCACACAGGAGACCACGGACGAGAAGAAGGCTAAATGTATCTCTACTGAAAAATGACTGAAACCCTGGGAAAACCACTCAACATCTTTAGGTTCATTATAAACCTAAACATGCACGTGGCCCAGGAATCAGAGACGTTAAAGGGGGACCAGATCTGGCTACTGCCCCTCTCTAATGAGACGAGCCAGCAGATGAGGGTCCACTTCCAAGGTGGCCCACTCACACAGTATTAGCAGGGGCCTCAGGCCCTCAGCCGCTGGCGGGAGGACTCCCCATGGTTCTCTCTATATGGGTGCCTGAGTGTCTTTATACATCAACTGGCTTCCCACAGAGTGAGTGATTCCAGAAAGAATGCAGGGGGGGAACCACAATGCCTTTTACAGTCTCTAGTCTCAGATGTCACTCATGATCAGTCCCATTATATTCTATCTGTTAAAAGCAAGTCACCAACTCTCACTCAAGGAGAGAGAAATTAATCTCTACCTCTTAAAGGAAGGTATCAAAAAATTTGTAAATATGTTTTTAAACAATCACAACTTTCTACAAGTGATCATCCACTTTCTAGAAAAAGAATACTAGCATTATGTGTTCTGTAGATTTATTAACAATAATAGGGTCCAGAGCTTTGCAGTTCTGCTTTCAGTTAGGGACTCAGAGGTTCTTAAATCAAATGAGATGATGAAACCTATCAGTTTATCTAAGTGACAAACTCCCTATAACACAATCCTTGGGAAATCCCAAATCTTTAATTTCAGACTGGAAATACATTTATTCTCTAGAGCCATTATTTAAGGAAATCCTTTTTATATTTATAATAAGGCATTATGGACCAAACATTAGAAATTGAAAGCTGTTTAAATTGTTAGCCATAGGAAGTGCCTAACAATTAGAGATTATTAATAATTATGGTTTTAAATGGCACAAAATGATAGACTGGCAGGTTGAACTGCAACGAAGGATACAGAAAAAATACCTATCATAAAAACTAGTTTTAATGACAAAAAATTGTGTTATTCCTGAAAATTCTGAGTTTACTATTTTCTAATATATTTATAATATAGAGTAGCTCAATAAACAATCAGGTATGTAGTTTTAAAGATTGCTGGATATCATTCATAGCTCAATTATTTATTTTAATAATTTTTTCATGAAAAAAGGGATTAATCAAAAGCTAATGGGAGGGTTGGCATACACAACAAAATTTAACTATAAGGCTAACAGCGCAGATTCGCAGTTAGAAGTAGCCACACTAAAAGTGAGGCATAAAGTCTCACATGTCATAAAGAGGGAAGGGGAAATGAAAACAGATGAGTCATCTGAGTGGGCCAGAAGGGAAATTAGTTTTTATGATAGGTATTTCTTCTGTATCCTTCACTTCAGTTCAACTTGCCAGTCTATCATTTTGTGTCATTTAAAACCATAATTATTAATAATTCATTCTCCAGAAAGTCAGGCACCATTCAAGTTTTTTGTTTTTCTGTTGTTGTTTTTTCTGGCTGTGTTTTCAGCTGAATAGTTACTTTCTTTGACTTAAATTGTAGAAAATACTGGGTAAGCTATAACTGAGTTTCAGAACTATAAATTTGATTCAGAGAAATTTGATTTGAATATCAAACACGAACATTTCGAACCACTCCTTGTACCATTTTTACTTGAACAAATCCATTTTTGCTTTCTTTTGTGCATGTGTGGCCCTTTTACTGGGATAACCTTCTCAGGAACATAAGCATTATGTAAACTCTAGCTTCTAAAGATATTTTATGCTAAAAACTGTGGCCAATTTAATTCAGGAGCAAGTTTGACTAGGGTGTACTCATTCTTTTTTTTTTAAGTATTTGTATTGATTTTTAGAGAAAAAGAGAGAAAGGAACATCAGTTGGTTGCCTCCTGCACACACCCCTACCGGGGATTCAGCCTACAACCGGGGCATGTGCTCTGGCTGGGAATTGAACCCGTGACCTTTTGCTGCATCGTCTGATGCTCAACCAACTGAGCCACACCAGCCAGGGCAGGATATATGATCTGTTAAATTGATCTTTAGTCATTTCAAGTGAGAGTAAGAAAATGCTTAACATCTTTTATATTGCCTTTCCTTCCTCCCTTGTTAGATACAAGTGTTCTTCACCACAGACATTAAAATCATAGTTTATTTAAGACAGAAGAGCACTTTTCATACTCACTGCTTTGTATTCAGTATCTATTTCAATGTTTCATATTCAGTGTTACTCCAAAAGCAATAATTGCATCGGAAAAAGTGGTAGTTTAAAAAAAACAGATGTTAATTTTTCCTGGGCAAGTGATCATTTACAATTCAAAATAAAATGTTGAATTTCAATCTGTTACATACTTAGATAGCGAAAAGAAGCCCTAATTTGATCATGTGTATCTTATTGAAAGTACCTAAAGTTGTCATTAATTGTTGATATCTAAGTATGTGAATCCTCATAATTACAATATTCACATTTATTTCATTTTAAAGTCAACATTTAAAGTCCAACATGAACCGGTAAATTAGTTGTGCTTAAAAAGAAGCATTCTGGAACTTCTACTTCTGGTGTGATAGGTTTTCTCTATTCTCCCAGTAAGTACAACTAAAACTCTGTACAATATATATAAAATGGACATAAGATGATTTTGAAAGGTAGAGCGCAGAAAGCAGACCAGGTAGGGACCTCAGATCCCTGAAGAACAATACAGTGGAAAAGTCTCTAGGTTTTCTTTTTGTCTCATTTTCCAAACTTGGATTTGTAGAAAATGGCCACTCTAAAACATCAAACAGGCACTGACCAAAAAAAAAAAAAAAAGAAGTCTAAAAAAATACCCTGGTCTCTACAGCAAAGAAAGGAAAGAGTCAGCCTGACAAGACAGAAAACTTTTAGACAATAATAGCTCAACCCAAATACCATAGAAAAAACCACAGTCCAACCCCAATCCACACGAGCAAAGGCCAAGTGTACGGAGGTGTAAGGAGATGCTGTAAGGAGGTGCCCCACACCCTCCCCAGAGTGGCTTCAGAGCAAAGAGAGAGCCAGGACTTCCAGCCACACAGGTCTCTAACAATGCCACCCACGATCCCCTCAGCCCAGGTGCCAGTGGAGACCAGGAGAGGAGCCTGGACTTCCACCCCAACCTGGCTGGCAGTCAGGAGGTATCCCCTCCATCTCCCCCTGGGGCGGGATCAGAGAAGACCTAGTGGAGAGTCAGTCTAGCAGCAGTGAAACCACCTCATTGTGGTGGGGGTGAGACCACGTGAAGATACCTGGGGAGGAAGAGTTTTAACTGAAGGATGCCCCATGCTCACAGGAAAAATTTCTTTCTACTCAATACCGTCTGTGCTGGTTTAATAGCAAGGACTGTGGAGCATATTTATTCTACAAGTATTTGTTGAGACCAACCATGGGGAAGACACTGAATACAGACCCTATGGCAGAAGACAGATACAAAAGAAATCCAAGCCATGATCTGGCCCTGGGGTAGGTCAGGAGGTACCATATGGCTCTCAGGCACTTAGTACACATTTACCATGAGTGGCACAAAAAATGCAATAGGCTCACAAACCAAATGCCATTACTAATATGTTACCAATCTGGTGGAGATAAAAGTCTGCTCCATCTTTCGGATTGATTTTAAAAGGCATCTCTGAGGCTACAGGAAAGCTCCACTGTCTACTTGAGGTTTCGTCTAGTTCTTAGATGTCTCTAAGATATCTCTAAGTTCAATTAATCAACATGAAAATTGTGCTTAAGTTTTGCTCACATGCCTCTACGGCCACACCACACTGAACGCACCCAGTCTTGTCTGATCTCGGAAGTCCTGCTTACATGACTACCCGAAGCTTCGGGATTTGAGTCTTACAGACTTTAGTCATCTAGAAAATAAGATGCCAGAATGCATGCTGAGAAGAGAAGTTCCACCTTGGTACTTATTATAGGCATGAGCGCCTTTCTGAAGGCAGATTCTCCTGCGGTGTAGGCAGAAGAACATGCAGGCTGAGACATCTCATGCCCACAAGCTTGCTTTAAATGCATTGTTAAACACAGCCTTACTCTCAGAAATGTCTTCAAAAAATAACTGAAAAACTTTTTCTCATAGAAAACAGAGCTAGCCTTATTATGTAAGTAGGAAAGTGACAAGTAGTATAAATTATTCTCATTTAGGAAATTTCAGCCAGTTTGTAATTTGATGTAGACGGTTTCACAAAGAAGAGGTAGAACTCTGCCTTCAGGAACTTTCAATACACATACAAGCCTGTTCCGATCTTGTTGCAAAAATATCTGGCCAAACAGCATTAAACAACATTTTTATTTGCTAGATATTTTCATCAGTTACCAACCTGTATCTTCTTAACAAAAGCGTTTGATTTATTTGCCAATTCAAGTAGCAATATATAATAGCCCTTCCACCTATGATCATGCAAATGCCAATATTTAATGAGCATCCAATAGAGATCATCTATATCAGCCATAACTAATTAGAAAACGTAATAGAAATTATGATAATGATGATGACAACAGGGATGGCTAACACTTATAGAAGCAAACTCTATGGCAGGCACTACATGAAATGCTTCTCCGGAGGTTTGCACGTAACCCACACACCATCACAATGAATTCGGCATTAGGTCAGCCCCATTTTGTAAATGAAGAAACTGAGTGTTTGAGATGTCTTAAGTAACAGCTAAAAGAGTAGGAAACAAATTCCCAATTCTGCTTCTGATCGAGTCCGTAACCCTAACCACATTGCATAGTAACCTCCCCCCCAGAAAGGTCTGATTTACTTTCTTTGAGAGGCTATGCAATTCCACGAATGGAGTGGCCGCCAAGCGCAGCCTCTCAGAGGCTCTCCCAGCTGCGCCCTCCTCGCCATCGCCACCAGCAGGTGCGGGTTCCTTGCATCATCTGTACCCACAGCAGCCATCTCTGCCCTTTAGAATAGAATGACCTTTTTAAAATGAAAACTTGGGTAAATGACTAGAGACTTGAGTTCCAAGTGGGATCAAATAGGATGAATTTTCTTGGAATGAAACACAAATTAGCTTTTTTCAAACGTTCATGGAGAACCTACCACCCAAAGG